ATGAGTCGCAATGGCACAACCAGCACGCTCGATGATACCGACCTAGACGCGACGATACGCGCTGCGGGATTTTCATCTTTAGAGGGCCTTCTTCAGAGTACCGAACACGAGATTCATGATACATCCCTGCGATTCACTGCTCCAAATTTCCAAGAGCCCTTTATAGAATCGTTCTGGGATGCAGATCCAATCTTTTCGACATCTCATTTGGCCTATCACCCCCAAAGAGTATTCTCTATGACAAAGGAGGGTACCATAGTGGAGATTCTGAACGCTCACGAATACGTTCCAAGAGGGCCGTCCGTCACATTTAGCAAACAGACCTGGTGGGATGCCCTCTTGCCACTTTACTCACAGGATCCACATCAGGCCTCCCAAAAAATATTCCAAGACCTTAATTTCCTGTTAGTTTGCTATCATTACTCTGACAAGGGTTTCTGACTTCCTTGTATAGTTTAAGCAGTTCTATTCACTGGCTCTCATTCCTTCATTTTGGCCGCTTCATGCAGAATTTGTATGAACCAGCCCGTCGTGCGCTTATTCAACCATCCGTCGTCCTCTCAGCCCTAGCTATGGCAACATTAATGAGATCATCCGAGACAGGCTTAGGAAGGGAGGGTCGTAAGTTTGCACTATGGCTTCGAGATGCTGCCCAAGCCTCTCTTGATGCGAGTATAAATGCTTCATGGATCGATCCAAGTCTCGCTCAAGCTGCATTTGTAAGCCATAGAGATCACGCTTAGGCTATCTTCTGACATTTAAGCAGTTTTTGACACTTTTTGAGTCAAGCACTCATCCGCTCCATTCCTCTGCACGTGCAAGCTCTGCGGTGTATCTTTTGGACTCGATAATACAGGCTTTGGGACTGTCAGCTATCGATGCCCATGACCCCACGGTCTCTATGTTTCCAGCCGATGAAATTCCCATCACCTCTACGGCATCAATGACCAGTTTATTCGGCGAAGATATACCACCAATGAACAGAATGGCCGCTTGTCCATGGCATGGGACAGATCCCTGTCCCCCGTCCTGCTCGCATAGTCCACTCGATTCGGATTACTCTCCTCAGTCTACCAACTCGCAAAAGGAAAGTCTTGGAAACATAGGTATTACCAAAGAAGTTGAAAGCGCATCCCATAAAATGACTAATCTACAAGAAAACGCATTTGGGAAGATCGAGTGGCCAGTTGACGATATCGAAATACAGA